CTCTCTCTCTCTCTCTCTCTCTCTCTCTCTCTCTCTCTCTCTCTCTCTCTCTCTCTCTCTCTCTCTCTCCCCTCCCTCTCCTTCCCCTCAACCATACGTTATTGTATGTTACATTACAGTGCAGTGAGCATGAGATGACGCACGGCACAGAGTGTCTACGGCTTGTCGCGGTGCACTCTCCCCCTTCCCTCTCCTCCCCCTCAACCATACATTATTATATGTATGCTCTATCTGTCTCTCTCCCCTCAACCATACATTGTTATGTGTTAACTTACACTTACAGTGCAGTGAGCATGAGATGACGCACGGCACGGAGTGTCTACGGCTCGTCGCGGCGCACTCTCCTTCCCTCCCTCTCCTCTCCCTCAACCATACATTATTATATGTATGCTCTATCTGTCTCTCTCCCCTCAACCATACACTGTTATGTGTTAACTTACACTTACAGTGCAGTGAGCATGAGATGATGCATGGCACGGAGTGTCTGCGGCTCGTCGCGGCGCACTCTCCTTCCCTCTTTCGAGCCACTGTTCAACCGATGATCGAGTATAATCGATGATCGTGACATCACTAGTTCTACCTCATCTAAACTCTCAAATCGTGAATTTATTTCCCAAGGCGTTATTTCGAAATCTGGCGCCACCGCCGCCATCTTTGTCTCGTTAAGTATGAAAGCGAATGGACTCCTGTAGTGTACCCGTAGCCTCGAGACATTAAGATACGGCTACCGTACCCGTAGCCACTGCCGATAACGCATACCAAGAATGGTATTCTTTGACTTTTTATTCTACCTACTAAAAGGTAATGTTTGGTTATAATTGTTTGCCTATATTCACCATTACTCATTAGTATCCATTGGCAATTTCTCATAATTCTTTAATTATCTGCTTAAAGTGATTTTGTTATATAAAATTAAGAAAAAGCATGAATGTAATAGTTGGTAAAAATGGTTGGTTAATAACACTTCAATATTTTTGGGAATCGAATCGAAGGAATCAAATCGATATCGAAACTAATATCGAGAACGGATCGAATCGAGAGGTATGTGTATCGTTACAGCCCTAATAGTTACCAGGGTACGTTCCGATATATCGAACCGTACCCATGGTACCTTCCGATAGTACCCTGGGGGACATAGACCCTATGAGCTCCGCTGACGCTATGCTCAAGCTTGCAGAAAGATAGAGAAACTCAAAGAACTGAGTGTCTTTTTGTGGGGTCCACTGTGCACAAGTTTTGCATGCGGTCAAATTGTGTATTGCAAAGGAGCATCTGAACTTCATATATGCGGTAAACTGTTACGGATAATAGGCGAAAGGGAATAGATAGACATGAGGACTGGTAGTAAATACATTTCGTCTTTGTTTACCATATCACTAAGTGACTTTCTTATTGAAACGGTCCAAATGGCTGTGGCGCATCCTCGGTCATATGCCATTCATTCTAGAACATTAGATATGACACTTAAAGGGACAGTAGCCTCTAGGATTTTACTGCATACAACTGTACTTACTGTATAACAAATCGTCTATACCCACATGTATTTGTCACCAGATACTTAATTAATTATTTACACATCAACGCTACGAAATTTGAACGGCGCCATGTCACCCGCGACCGTGCTGCCACCCTGAAAAAGTTGCGTATTTCCATTTTTATTTTGCAGGTAAATGACCGAGGGCTAATCACAAAAGTGCAATTATATTTATACCTAAATGCTATTTAACCGAACGATATTCATTTTAGGGCAAATTTATCCATATTATAACTGAAACTATATGTCGTTTATAAGATATTACAATCCTTTTGCTTTTAAATGAATAAATAAGAAATACCCTCGGTCTGTAGCCCTTGGCTGGAAAGTGGTTTTGCGCAACTTCTCAGATCGTGCGCTTTGAGTGGCGCCACCGTCGTTGCAATCAAACTGTAGTCGTTAGTTTTAAAACATTTAAAAAAAATATTTCTAATGGTGATTGAACCATGAAACTTTTTATGTAGCGCAATTATAACCTAAATTAGCTAAAAATAACCCTAGAACCTAGAGGCTACTGTTCCTTTAAGATTGACACAGGGCCTGGCCTATACTATAGTTTGCAAGTTCTGTTATGCTATTCTTTTCATGTAATAGTGAGAGAGAGAAAGAAAGAAAGAGAGCGAGAGAGAGAGGCATTCCTTTATCTTTCCCCTTTTTTTGTTTGCAGGCATTGCTACCACAACTGCTACTAGATCGCTGCTTGGGTGAAGACGCTAGGATTGGCCGCCGCGTCGAGTGCCAGCCTACGCGGCCAAGGTTGAACGGATGGCAGTGAGCAGGGAGTCGATTGAGATGCCACCGGAGTCCTCGTGACATCACGCGAGAAACCACTACCGTTCTGCCGAATCAGGAAAAAACTCGCGGTCACAAACCCGTCTTGTTGACAGCAATATAGTGTTGCTAGTTTACTGGTGGCGCCACCTGTGAGATGGACTTTCGAGTTTCCGTCGTTCTTCCGGCCGGTGGTAATGGTGTGCGGATGCGGCATTCCGTACCGAAGCAATTCTGCCTCATAGAGGGCAGGTCAGTCCTCGCCTATACGATAGAATGCTTTGAGAGGTAGGAAGGCCATTTATAATATCACGATTACATTTTACGTTATTCTTAGTATAATAAAGATGATTAACTAGCAGTAAGATTAAAATAAAATGAGAATAAAGTTAAAACATACTTAACTATTTACATGATATTAATATATAAAAATCAGACTAATGTCTATATATAACAGCTTAAATTGACTACGTTACGAATTTTCCATGGTAAAATTTGTAAACAAAAATTCCCATTTTTTTACATTAAAAGTAAGAACTAACGTTACTAAATATATCCTCAAACTCTCACCTGATAAAAATGTTTTTCCGTTGGTTAAATTTGCAAAAATCTAGACGATTTGGTAATTTCTGTTGTCTAACACTATTCCCCCAGTACTGTTCAGATACTGGCATCTCTCTGTTTTTCACCGGCAAATTAGGGCATATAAAGAAGGTATATAAGCATGAAAAGTAAACAGAAACACTAATTGTATTTTCATACGTTTTATTTTGTACAAATAACACACAAATATACTACTTGATGGTGCTCGAAATTCGTGACGTAATCACTTTAAGCAGTATGATTTTTACCCTGAGCGAAAGCAAATTTTTTAACTTTTCCTTCAAGTTTGCTATATCTCATTAGTATGTACTTCTCTCTCCTTACGTTTCGATTTCCACGCTTCCGCCCGTATTGACACGGCCGCTCGCGACTCGTAGGATCGCGTGGGTGGAGTCGATCATCGTCGCCGTGGCAACGGAGCACGTCGCGGCGACGCATGACATCATCGCTGCGGAAGGGTTCGTGAAGACGAAGGTGACTGTCGGGGGAGACAGCCGCCATCGCTCCATACGCAGCGGGATTGACGCCCTACGGCACGGTAAATGTGAAATTCACTGTTGTTTTATGACAAACGTGAATGCGTGATTATAGAAATTTGTAGGTATATGCTATTATTTATGCACTTACTATCATAATAATATACTCTCATAAATTCTAAGAGAAAGATTTATTTAAATCTTTCCTAAATCTATTTCTTGTTGAAGCCCCGTCTCGCCAGAAAATTCATGATTTGTTGGCGGCCATTTCAGATCCGCCGGACGTGGTGGTGGTGCATGATGCAGTACGACCGATACTGCATGAGAAGATAGTGAGAGATGTTGCCATAGCTGCGAACAAACATGGTGTAAGTACACACATCCTCATCTCTATGGGTGGGGGGGACAGGATAAGATAGAGAGAAAGAGAGGGAGAGAGAGAGAAAGAGAGGGAGAGAGAGAGAGAGAAAGAGAGAGAAAGAGAGAGAGAGAGAGAGAGAGAGAGAGAGCATAGAGAGGGAGCTTAAAAGAGAGAGAGAGAGAGATAACGAGTGAGAGAGAGGGAGATAGAAGGGGGGGGGGGAGACCAAGAGAGTATTTAAGAGAGATGGAGGCTAACACTCCATTAGGAGTGTTCCCAAATTTGATATCATTAATGATTAATGATTGATAATCCTAACCCTAACCCTAACCTAAATGACATTAAACCACAAACTAATATATGACCATGACCACATATATATTTATATGTTATTATGACCATTAATGACATTAAAGTTGGGAACACTCCCAATGGAGTATCACCCTAGATGGAGGGGCGGAGAAAGGGTTCAACCAGAAGTTACGGTGAGAAGTTTGTAATTCGATATGCATTTGTTGGCAATGGATTCCGCCAACAAATAGAATAACTGAACTCTAGCTCCTTACTGCCCCCCTTTCCTCCTCCTCCCCCGCCTGCCCCATCCCTCCCTGCCAGCCTCGCGACACATCCCGGCGACGAGTCTGTGACAAAGCCAACTGCGCGTTGTTGCCAATATCACCTGAAAGATCATTAAAATTTATATTTTTTGTGAAAATACATTTACACACCAAGCACTATAATTATTTTTCCTTCTTCATCGTTTAAGGACTTACGAGGCAGATCCCGGCGAGGTGTATTGGTGTCTTCCAGTGAGGACTCATTTTGCTTACTTGCAGCTAATTCTGGTGCAGAGGGCATATCTATTATTTCTAACTGATTGTATTCAGCTGATACGTGTACACCTTGATCTGCAAAGTAGAATATGTATTCATAATACGACAAGCATGTGATATATTTCTAACTTACCTTTTCACACATCTTATATTATTATTTGTTACCAAAAACGATGTTAGTTTGCAATAAAATCGGTTGAAATAAACTTTCTCGTGACGTAGACACTTTGAAGCAAAATGAGTAGACAACTATTGTCACACTATACGTACCATCACCACTATCATCACCACTTGTTTCATATGCGGAGCTTTGGTACCGCTGTGGCTTCTTATTTTTACCCAGTCTTTTCCCTTCATCGGAATCTACGTTAGACGTCTCTTCTGCCCTCTTTGCACGTATACAAGCGGTCTTATAGTCCTGATATTCTTGTAGAAAAACAAAAAGATGTAAAAAATAAGTATAAACTACATGTATATTAATCATAGTTATTAATCTAATTTATCACCATAATGCAAATGGACATTTATGACTTTACGACTTCTATTCTCAACTATAGATCGATCTGCAGTGACAATATAATTTGTATTAATAAGTAATTTTAGAGTACAAAAAAGGAGGCAGTGTGCAGTTTTGTTGTGCTAAAGTTGAAGGAAATAAAATGTTTACCACTTTTGCCTATGATCCTAACTTCGTGTTCCAGCCACACATTTTTGTCCGGAATCTCCTGGTTAACGATTCTCCTTTTCACCTGCTTCCCACCTGGCCAGTAGCACATCAGCTGTGAAATTGAACAAAGTATTCAACATGAGTGATAGGCGACTACACTCCAACGGGAGCTCCATGATAACGCATGTTGAACAAGTTACACATCAAAATAATTGGCATGTCTAATATAAAATTGAAGTACAGTATTACTTTAGCATTGTAAAAATAGAGTATGCTTTACATTTTTAATACAAAATCATGCATGCTGATATCTTAGTGCGAAATAAGATAGCGTGCTCTTCTTCATGAACAATTATAGTGTAGTGGGCGAGTACATCCAACCATTTTCCTTTATATTTGAAACTACAATGTAAGTTCAATTTACTTTTTCTAATGCACTCTAACACTGCATAATTACACACCTTATTCTTCTTCCTCTCCAGCCATGATGTGGGAACACAATCCACGGTTTCATCGCCGAAGACAACTACCGTGAACGGCATCTCGATCAACTGTTGTCTGATAAAAGCAAACATACTAAAATTATAATATACCTGTAATTTGACAATAATGCTGTATCACTGTAAAGTGTAAGCATGTGGTTATTGCAGACAAATTAATACTTTTTTTTTGCATTCTTCACCAATGAAATGAACACGTAAGATCCTGCATTTTATTGCAATATGACAATGCGTACCTCAGTAGCAATGCAGCAGAGGAAGAAATGTTACATATCTGCCACGCTGTATCATAATGCATCTGCTAGTGAGAGTTGTTGCACATACTATTTTCATCTCATAGTTAGTGTCAAGGATTTTGCAGAATCCTAAGAGAGACGAATCACACGGTTGCATGAACAAGGCCTCTGGACTATGGTAGACTCTACATCGATAAGTGGATTCCTGCTTGTTTGCAACACTAACCACTTCACAATATTTTCCATCATCACTTTTGTATGCATTATCTGGATGTCGACAATAGATTTTCTGATGCTGAACTTGTATGCCCTCTGCAGCAGTTGACTCAAGTATTCGCTTAACCAGTTGGACAGCAGGACTCTTGCCAGTCCTTACCTTTCTTTTCAGTTGCTGCATATAATTTTCGAACTTCCATGCAGCACAGTTGTCGAGATCACCAAACTTAACTGCATCTCTTGTCAAATGCAGAAGAGTATGCACATTATAAACAAGAAACTCACGCCCATATAGTTGGCCACCTTTGCTAACAAAATGCAGCAGCAACTCATGAGCATAATTCCTATGCTTTTCAACAAGCTTATGGTTAACCAAAATGCAAATCGCAACACTTAATGCCATGAAATGGCTGTAATTGGCTTCAGGGAGGATATCTTTCAGAACAAATTTCCCTGTGTACAACAAAAATTGCCGATACTCAGTAGCCTTCCATCTATCCACTTCATCCAAACGTCTTGGTTTCCTGGCAAACTCCCTTGGGATATTATGACGCATATTGACCAGACGTGTACTTATACATGCGATGTTACCAGCTGACAACCTGCATAACTGTCTTGGGCCTCTTATCCAAATAAGTAATAATTTTTTCATGACTCCCAAACAAACTTGATGCATATAGTCCAAAGGAAAGTCATCAATCATATTTACACCATACAGTTGAAGAAATGGTGATATTCCCCTATGGTGTTCCTCGTCATTGTTGTTTCTGAATGCCTGATCTGTTCGCAGTTCTAAATGTGCCATGCGTGGGTAAGTCATCCTGCCAACAAAATGTCCACGTTGGCAACATTTGTCACATCCATGGTATCCACTGTAAAGTTTGACACACTTAACCATGGCCCTTGCTGGCGCATCACATACAATGCATCTCAGAGATACCCCCAATTGCCTACCTTCAAAGGCAAAGCCTTCATGAAGAGCGATATTTAAATCTTCAATGGTATCTTGCAAAAAGTCCAAAGTAGCTGGTTTGCTCCTACCAACAGAAATGGAAATTGGAAAAATCTGTACAGGTTTTATATTTGTGATACAACACAAAACTGGCCAAACAGAGCTATTTGTACTTTTGAATAGAGGAAGGCCATCTATATTAAGTGTCAAAACTAGGCTGTCCACGTCTCTGATGCAACTTTTCGGCATTTTCTGCAAATAACGATTGAGCATTGTATTGAGGCCAAAATGGAAGTAGTCCATGTTTGAAACACTTCTGATTTCTACAGTTCTTTGTGTTTTCAGTAGAGTTCTGGTACTGCCAGGAATATCCTGATGTCCATGTTGCTTCAATATTTTGAGTAGTTTGTCAACGGTAGCAGCTTTCACTTGGCACTCATTTGTCCATTCCTTTAACTGTTCTGCCAGTGTGTCATGTACATCGTCACTTAGCTCACTGTCAGAGTCTGAATCACTTTGCACTCCACTGCCAACATTCATAGCATCATCATCTATGCACTGTTCTTCATTGTTGAGGTCATCACTGCTAACATTATCAACTTGATCATGGACGCCAACCGTGTCATTATCATGGCTAATCTCTGACACGTTCCCGTATGTAGATTCATTTTCAGTAATGTCTGAATCAAATGATGAAGGACTATTTTCACGAACTGGTGACGAATTCCTCCTCTTGTTGAATATCCATTCCTTATTGTAGTTTCGTCTCCGAATTCTCTTCAGATTCTGGGATGTATACATGCCAACTGTGTTCAATAGACATGCGTCTAAACAGGGGAATTGTCCCGATCTATAATTGGAGGATAAAAATAGAATTCGTGACGTTTCGTTTTTCATTTTGGCATTTAGCCTATGAGTGATACCGCGCGTACATATTTGCTAATCGCGCATCAATAAACTCAAGACTCACAGGAATCATAGCTAAGACGATATTGATACGAATTGAATTTAGAAGTAAATGAATGAATGAATAACGAAATGAAGTTGAAATAGATTGCAAATTGAAGTCAGAAATGTTAGATTCGCATTCGCCAGATTGCCCGTCGCCATCTTGAAAACAACTCGCGCGCGGCGCAAACAGCCTCTGGAGCTTGCGAGTGCTCGCTCGCGCAGTTTTGTTCAGAAGGCGAGCGTTCGCTCTCCTGAACACCCCTCTGTATATAATACAATGCACCAGTGTGCTTAATACGCGCGGTGCGAGCGAAAATAAAATGCCACGAATTCTATTTTTATCTAAATTATTCTTCTAATTTTATTATTATGTCAATGTGTTCAATTGAAGCAGGTTCTAAAAATTGTGAGATTTATTTCCACAAAACATTTTTGTTTGTAAGAAATCACTGTATAAAAACCATATAAACAACGCAGTAACTCATGCTCTGATAACCGGAGCGGGAGTTCTTTTGGCTCGTGCGCCGGTAATCCCAGAATGCATTGCAAAGTCATCAAGAGGATTTCTCAGCGGAACGCAGAAAATGGCTGCACACAAACCTTGTATGCAATCTGGTCTCTTACTGGCGGCGCACACGTGAGTTATTTTACTCAAGTAAAATGACGCATGAGTCAAATTACTCAACGAAAATCCGCCGCACACGTGAGTAAAATGACTCATGCGTCATTTTACTTGAGTAAAATAACTCACGTGTGCGCCGGGCATAAATTCCCTGTGCCTATAGCTCTTGCAAGAACCGATTTCCTCCAAAAACACAGGCGTATAGTTCATGCAGTGTAATACTTCAAATTTTCGTTAGCATTTTCCACTCGTTTCGGTACTCTTTTCTTATCAGCATTAATGGTCCGTGAATCTCTATGATCGTATTGAACAAATGTTGCATTTTGATATTCCATCAAACCAAAATATGCAGCCATTTCCTGTGTTCCGCTGGACATGCTCATTTAATTGATGACTTTGCAATGAATTCTGGGATTGCCGGAGCACGAGCCAAAAGAACTCCCGCTCCGGTTACGGGACCACGATATCGAGCCACTGTGAATAAATAACTAATGAACTGTAAGTGTAAGTGAATGTTAGCCTAGAAAATAAAACTGTTAAAATGTGTAACATGCCCATACCAGCTCAAAGAAACTATAAATTGCAAGCGCCACTAAAACCGTGATTTAGATAATGGCGGTTACGGGTACTGTACTAGTTCGAGCCAACGCAGACCCCAGTAATGGTGATAAACCTGCACCCTCAGATTAGCAAAGCGGAGTTATAACGTCTGCATTTGCGGACTAGTACTGTACGTGTACAATAGCCAATAGGCAATACTGTAGCTAGCTCTAGTACTAACTACTATAGCCCGCGTACAGTTGCCGCAGGGTGGTGTACGTGTGTGTTACCGCAGGGTGGTGTGTTGCCTGCGGCAACTGTACGCGGGCTATAGTACGTACTAGAGCTATACTGTAGCTAGCTCCAAGAAACGGTCTTTGCTAGGGTTAGAAGACCTGTGTATATTGACGTTAGTCACACAGCCTGGTAGGGCTAACTAGTAACTGTAACCCACCAAGAGTAGGGTACCCAACAACCCTACTCTTGTTGGGTTACATTATTAATTGTATCTAGGGTACTGTGCTGCTGTGCTGGCGTCATAGCCGTTCAAGATTCACTCACTCATACTATCATAGTTATAATTCGTTCGTTCGTCATTTCCAACGTGCACTCGCTGCACATTGGATATGCCTAGCTTTGATGTGCAGCACAGTACATCGACCCTATATTTACAGTTTCAATAGCGTCTATATGTTATAAACCTGATCAAAGAAACGATTAAAATAAGATATACTCACGAAACGATGTCTTCCAGACGTCTGCAACAAATAGAAATCTTGCCGCCAAAACGTTCTCAAAAAGAATGCGTCCAACACCCTTGTATCTATGACTAAACGAATGCGAAAACGAAAACGAATGCGTCAACTAGACTGGTGCCTGGTCCCACCTCTCCCGGTCCCCTACCACGGTCCCACCATCCACAGAAATACGGATGGGGTTGGAGCGAGTACCAGTCTATGCGTCAACTCTCATAGCCGAGCCATGGCCATAGCAACGAGCTGGAGCGCCACCGAGCGCCAATCAATAAAGATCACATATCCTCTTTTTTTTGGAAATCAGGCGAAACCATAGATATCATATAACAACATAAAATGTTGTTATATGATATCTATGGGCGAAACATTTTGCTAAATGATTTGCATATGCAAATGGATATAATGAATATTTTATTCAAAATTAATGACAATTATGAGCTGTTTCATAACGTTAGAAAACAAAATTTGATAGATCTTAAAATATAATTTGATATATTTATAAAAATTAACTGATATAAAATTATTATTCATATATAAATGCATATAATATAATACATTGCTCATGGCTGCGTCTCTGTCATTTGAGCGTATGGCTGGTATACCGTTTCTATAATATTATAAAACTGTTATATAAGTGCAAATCAAATGTATAAATGATATGTGTAAATGTTGCTGTAACATTATTAAAATGTTATGCGGAGAATGTTTCTATAACATTATTAACATGTTATGCAGAGAATTTATTTGACTATTTGCATTTGCAAATGGTTTCAAAACGTCTCTATAACATTATTAAAATGTTATACGGAAAATGTTTTGACTATTACCTTTTGCAAATGTTTTCAAAATGTTATGTGTTTGCTGGGTGATACGACAACGACCCCGTCATCGTAAGTAGTGTGTACGTGCGTGCGTACGTGCGGGCGTGTGTATTGTGTG